CTCACCCACACCCACACAAACATATTATAATTACAGACGGAAACATAATAATATACAAAATATAGATAAATGAGAATACTGATCTTCGCACTCTTACATTCTATCTTCTCGCCTCATTGTCCCACCCCTAACCTCCACCTCCCCCCCCCCCCCCTACACAGACACACACATACACACACATACACACACACACACACACACACACACACATAGACACAGACACACACATACAAACACACACACACACACACACACACACACACACATACACACACATACACACACATACACAAACACACACATGCACGCAAAAACGAACAGATACACACAACATTACACATGCATGCAAACACAGACAATCGTTTACCTACAACAGTCAGTTTGGTTAAATCGGAGTATGATACTAGTTTGTACCGTATAATTGAACTGCGTGTGAGGCATCGTGGAGGAATCTGGCACTCGTCAAAATAATGAAATCCAAGAGACAGGCATTTTCCCGCCCGTTTGATAAGTTTTATCGAATTTTTTATCTTTGGCTCAACACCTTTTATGTCCGTATAACAACACATTTCCATACGATTTTACTCAAAAACGCTGATTAAAGGAATAAAAATGGACATCTTCAGTTTTCAAAGACTCTCAAGCTATTGAAGTTACCAAACTTCGGCGGCCATTTTCTAGCTAATTTTGCCTCGAAAACCAAGAGACCCCCACCTTCTTCAATTGCAAATATTTCGACTCCTATAAAAGAAAGATGAGTAATTTTTTCCTTAAAATTAAAGCTAATGAACAAGTTTTCAGAAGATACCAATAACTGCAGATGCTCCCAAAAAATAACGAGTGCGTGATTCCACCGCGTCATGACACATATTAGAGACGAGGTAAATAAATGACATCACTTGCCAAGAGACTTGAGAGACATTACTGGCTGTTACAGTGCCCGTGTAAGATATTTAGGTCAAACGGAACTGATTTAATATAACCACACTGCAATCTCATTTTTGTCAAACATATTATGCTAGCGTGACGGACATACATCACGGTCATGCCTCAGTATTCTCACTGTATCAAAGTACTTTTGATGAGAGGTTTTTTTTTTACTATCTTTATTTCTAGAGTAAGATGAAGAAAAATAAGACATGCGCATCCCTTCAGTTGGTGTTTACTTTATAGCAAAATAATTTACAAATTTATATTTTATTAAATCGAATCAGAAACAAAAGATGAGTAAAGAAAAGGTCAAAATACCGCCTGCTTTAGAAACGATTCCAAATGAACAAACAAACAAACAAAAAAACAAACAAAAACAGATTAACCCTATCCGTGCGCCCTAGTGTCATTTTGTACCCCTGGGGGTGTATTCTTCACATTTTAGAATACTTCTAGTTCGAAGATCTCTTCGAAACTTTCAGTATTTCTAAAAAAATTCCTTTTTGACAGACTGCTGTGCAAAGCGTAGGGATCGGATTAACGAGTAAATTTCCTCTTTAGAAAGTGGTGGCATAGAGTTCCCCACGCCGTATGGATACGACAGTAAAACACGACGTACGTATAAGGTTATAAACCCACCCACCCCCTCCCTCTCAAGGCATCTCTAAATATTATATTTGGTTTGCATTGCTAGAATTTAAGATACAGTGAAGTTCTTCTGTGCCCTATCGTGGTGACATTTTTTTTCTTGACAAAGTAAAACTTTGAAATGGGATTTTAAAGTCCGGATACGTAAGACGGAAACAGAAAATAGCCTACTTTCACCCATTCAAAGTCAATTTACACTTAAAGGGGAAGTTCAGTTGCTTCATTATTCGCATAATTTCAGGTTTTCAAATATTCATAATGATATCATCGACATCAGACTCTCACAGAAAAGTGGGGGAAAATGTCATTTAATTTCGTTCTTACTACTTAGTTTTACCGTTTTACTTTTTTTTCCATTTTACCCCAAAGTACCGAGGAAAGACGCAATTGTCAGACGTAAGCCAGGTGTATTGCTGTTTGGATTGTCATGTCTCTCTGATTTTGTCGACCCTTCTTTTTCATGGCTTTCCTCTTGCTTTGAAACCCCCTAATGGCATGTCGTGTAGGCCCTAGAGGCTAGCTGTTATGACCCTATTCTCATTACGTGTCCAAACCGCCTTATAATTTACTTTCTTATAATCTTCCACAATCCCACAACATTTTGTGCAACTTGCTCTTTTCACACATTATAGTATCACTGATGAATAACCAAACTGTGATCACGGACATCAATTATACAATACAATGTGACAGATACATGGTTGGAGTATGCGCCGACGATATAATAATCTTTATCGATCATTTTTACTTACTTCTGACCATCAAAGATGGTGTATAACAAGATAGTCCACTCCTCTCCTCGAGCCAATTAAAAAAGTGTCCCCAAAATTCGGTGGCGATCTCTTCGAATAAGAGCGGACTTTGCAAACAAAGTTACCCTCCTTGTGTGAAAAAAAGTGAAACTAACAAACTGTGATATATTCCTATTTTTCTCCTGAAGAAATGAAAGACTGCAGCACCATCTGAACCAATGCGCGGACTTCTGCGGACACTTTTTTGGCTGAGTGAACTATCCTGTTATGTACGATTTTTTTCCCGTTAAGGATGATGGCGCAGACGATATAATCTTAATCAATTACTACTTACTGATGCCCATAAGGATGATAGCGCCAATGATCATGATGACGGTTTGCATGGTGTCTGTGTAGATGACAGCTCGCAATCCTCCTGGAAAGTGGGGTGGGGGGGGGTGAGGTGAAGGTGGAGGGATATCAATATATTATACGGAGGTCATTAAATGAAATGCAGTAGAGCCCCATAATCACAGTTTTTAGATAATAATTTAGGAGGCTAACTGCTTCAACCTTGACGGGCTAATTTGGATTCTGTATCTAAGGGGAGTTGACAAAATATAAAGAAACAAACAAACAGAGGAGTTAAATAAGGAAATTTTACAGACAATGCTTCAACATTGCTAAGTAATCTATACTTTCTAAAACACCACAATGATCCTCAGAGAAACAACAAATTTTCATAGGTTTAAGCGATTGCTCAAGACTCATTTGTTTACTTGTTAGTTATGGTGTGTTGGTTAGTTCTGATTTTTTAAAATATACATGTGATATCTATCTATCTATCTATCTATCTATCTATCTATCTATCTATCTATCTATCTATCTATCTATCTATCTATCTATCTATCTATCTATCTATCTATATCTATATCTATCTATCTCTCTCTATATATATGTGTATATATATATATATGTGTGTGTGTGTGTGTGTGTGTGTGTGTGTGTGTGTGTGTGTGTGTGTGTGTGTAATGAATGATGATGATCATGTGTGTGTGTGTATGTGTGTGTATGTATGATGATGATGATGATGATGATGATGATGATGATGATGATGATGATGATGGTGATGATGATAATGATGATGATGATGATGATTATGATGATGATGATGATGATGATGATGATGATGATGATGATGATGATGATGATGATGATGATGATGATGATGATGGTGATGATGATGATGATGATGATTCTCCTCACCTGACACTGTGTAGATGGCGGTGACGACGAGGAGAGCGACAATAGAGGCGTACATGTCCCAGTTGACAGCCTGCTGGATGAAGATGGCGCCTGCGTAGATGTCCGCCTGGAGAAGGTTGTCGATACAGCACATTAAATATGGTCAGCGTCATTCCACAATCTTACCAAAACAATTTCTGGATTATTCGTATTTATCGTTGTTTTTGTTTGTTTGTTTGAGACGACAGAACATTGTCAGAAAGAAGGAAAGGATGTGAAAGGCGACAGTTTTGAAGAAGAAAAATGTCTGTCGCTATCCGGGTTCGAGCCTGGAACCTGTTGCATGAGATGCGAACACCTTAACCTCTAGACCACGAGAGCTCCCCTTTCTGGGGAAATTCTAGAAAAAGCAAACCGGCTTTTGTGGTGTAGGGTTTAAGTGCTTCACTCTGTCACGCAAGAGACCAGAGTTCTCGGCACATCGTCTCCATAATTGTTAGTGGATGCTGGTATGACACATTTTTACAACAACATATTAATAAACATGTTAGTTACACTACCTTTCGGTACAGAGGATCTGCCCATCTCGTGACTATCTTTTTTTCTGATGAAGGTGTTTTACTCCCCCAGCGACACAATATGTGAGGCGGCGTGGTGGAATCAAGCTCTCGTCAAAATAATCAAAGTGAAGAAACTTGTAGTTTCTCCACCGACTTTGCTGGGTCACATTGGAAGCTCCTCGTCTTGGTCTTACAAACGACAACAAAATTAAATGACAAAACCACGTAAACAATCTCGTTAAAACAGTAAACCAGAGGCTGTACTTTCTGAGAAAACCTAGGTCTTTCAATCTGAATCCGTCCATCCTTCAGACATTCTACACTACCAAAATACAAACTTTGATAAATTTTGGTATCGCTTGCCATGGTAGCAATTCTAAATCATTCTATCAAAATGAGAACGACACAATGATCAACCGCAACGATGAGAAAGACTGCTGAGTTGAATTGACCTGATACGACGCAGACGGAAATCAGAAGAACTAGATGAACAGCTATTGAACGTATCAGTGTTCAATGAATCAGCCAGTGTGTCAGAGGACAAAAGGAGGGACCTCATGTCATTGTGTTCATCAACCCTGACCCCACCTGCTCATCACCCTCTGTACCAGAATCTCCCTGCTCTGTAATCGGAAACATTAGTTATTTCCTGCTCGTTTTCAAAAAAGTTGCAGGAGTTTGTTGCGACTATGACATTTCTAAGTGCTACAATGACCAGACCGAAGGGCTAGAACCCAAATGGCCGCTGGATCGGAAAAGTAAAGTAAGTAAAGTAAGTGCTACAATGTGTTACTACTGATTTTAGCCAGAGAAGTTCTTGATCTTTGCATTGGCATACTCTTTGTCCTATGGTTAGTTTCCTTGTTTTTACGAGACAAATAGCAAATTTGCTTCCAGTTTTACTTTTCAATTAGCTACTCACAGGGCCTCATTTCATTGTGTTCATCAAACCTGATCCCACCAGCTCATCACCCTCTGCACCCGAATTTCCCTGTTCTGTTAATGTTCTAACTAGGTAGGCCTTATAAAAATGTCAGCAATTATGATAGATCTAGTTAATTTGCTTGGTTAAAAATGTATTATGTTACATTTTTCACTAGTTAGGTGTGAATCAGTGCGTCCAACTGCTAATGTTTAACTCATACTACGCATGTCTATTCCTAAGTAGCTTGATGTACTTTTTACTCGTCAAATTTGTAATGTTCTAACTACACCCTGCAGTCTTTTTCCGACGCAAAGAATGACTTTGCGAGTTACGAACAAGTTGTACGACCATCAGACATACTCTCTGGGGTTTGATTTTTTATTTCTGGCTGTCAAAATGTTTCATGTATTTAGATATATAATCATTTTTCACGCATTTTGGAGGTCTTTTTGTACCTTTTAATATGACTTTGGTCTTCTCATATAAATTGTATGACAATCAGATTGAGTATGATTTTGAAAAGCATATTGTGCAGTTCAACAAAAGACTGACTAAATTGTGTTTGAGCACTCTGAATTTAGTATGATTCCACTTTCTGTCTACTAAAATCATGTTTGCGCCATCTTTTCTCCTTTTTTTCAATATCAGTAAAGAAATCCAGGAGTTTATGTTCACGTTTTAAATAAAGATAGAGCAATTAATTCCTGTATATCCTCGCATTTAATTGAAAATGGTTGTTTTTGTACTTATGTGTGACAGAAACGTATTTGTGTTGTTTTCATGAGTATTATGTAAAATTTTCAATTCAATAAACCCAAAACTGCAACAAAGATTTTTTGCGTCTCCTGTAAAATTTGGAAACTGTCGCCAACAGGAGTTTTTTTCCCCAGGCGACGGTCAATAAGTACACCAGCACGCATGACTGCACGTACAAGTGACGCGAAAATATGAGGTTTATTATAACGCAGGTTTGATGTTGACACGTTGTGGGCATTCCCTTTCCTGGTGGGGCAACAAGACCTGAACAGTGTCTAGATTTTTGTTCTGTAACGAAATAAACAGCTCATGCGGTCATGACATACCGCTTTTTGTGGGATCGGGTCGGGTCGGGTCGGGTCGGGTCGGGTCGGGTTGGGTCCAGGCCAGATTGAGTGCGAAAAGCGTCTATCGTGCCTGACTCGTCGTCTCAAAAACAAACGCCTTTGTTGTCGGGGATTCGAGCCTCGGGCCCGACGTTGTGTCCTAAGGAAAGGCACTTTACAAGACTTTTCCTCCCTTCACCCAGGTGAGAATGGGTATCCAGCCATAGACAGCGAAAGATCTTGTCAGTATGTTATTGTTTTAGCGCCTATAAATGGCCGCTTGCACTATAAAAAATGCTTCCCAGGAAGTTGAGGTTGTTTCAGAATGCTCTCAGGTCTGCTGGGGAAATAGTATAGATTGTGAAGCGCATAGAGCTCGCTGTTGAGCGGGGATTTGCGCTATACAAATGCTGTTATTTTTATTCCTGCTACACCACAGACGCCGGAAGTTAACAGTTTGGTGGAGCTGAGGAACGATCTTTTTGCATAAAAGCAAGTAGACACCCTCTTTACGACTGTCGAAAATGTTTCAAATAAAGGCATTTGGGAATCAAAATTTCACGAAAGGTGCGTTTTGATTTTTCCGTTTTTCTTGTCACTTATGTTTTATTTCATACAGTTGAGTTTCTTGGATAACATAGGCCCAAGAATGAAATGGTCGCTTTTAAGCACAAGAGGGCTATCCCAAAAAATTATGTTTTGGGAATATCGAAGGTAAAGGTTTTAGACACTTGTTCAGTTTCTTTAATTAAAAGACAAGGAGAGTTTTCTCTTTAACCAGACAAATATACACACCAATGAAACCAAACTTCTCCTAAAGGTAAGGCAATGACCACTTTTGGTGTAGGCCAAGATTTCTAGAAGCCCCCGAAATCTGGGTTAGTCACCTTGTCCTTAAAAGCGACCAAATATGCTAGCCACTTACGGATATCTTGGTGAAGACATAGATGATAAGTGACAAGACCGCCATATAAAGCTGCAATCTCTGACCGCCAAATCTGCGCATCAGATACTCGGGCATTGTGTAAACCTGGGGACCAAGAAAATGGTGATGAATAGTGCAGGACGAGGGGTACAAAGAAGATAATATTTATTAGAGAAAGAGAGAGAGAGAGAGAGAGAGAGAGAGAGAGAGAGAGAGAGAGAGAGAGAGAGAGAGAGAGAGAGAGAGAGAGAGAGAGAATCAGAGAGAAGCCGAGGGGAGAGAAATTGAAAAACTGAGAAGGAGCGGGAGAGAAATAGAGAGAGAGAGAAGGAGGGAGAGAGGGGGGGGGAGAGAGAGAGAGAGAGAGAGAGAGAGAGAGAGAGAGAGAGAGAGAGAGAGAGAGAGAGAGAGAGAGAGAGAGAGAGAGAGAGAGAGGGAGAGTAGGAGGAGGAAGATAGGCATTTCAAAAATTGTCGAAAACATGATGAATGAATCAACTCGGAATGAAACACGAAGTGAAAAAAAATACGGCTGGAATATTTATAAAGACAGAAGGGAAGGGTGACATAAAAATGTGTGAGAATCTTTGTGGCGTCGGTGGCCTAGTGGTTAATGTCTCGACACAAACAACTGCATAAGATCATATTTTGAATTTAGCCGGGGTGGCAGCGAAGCCTACTGTTAACGATTTTAGACCACCAAGGGATTTTTAACGGGGGCAACTTGCACACGGGTCCTCCAAGATTTTTCACCCTGTCCGAGAAGGCTAGGTGTAGATCTTACCTACTATAAGATAAGAGGGATGTGACTGAAAGACAGCAGTAAAAAGGAGCTAAGGAGTAGCAGTGGAAAAGCTGCAGAAAGAGTCTGGAGCCCATAAGAGGGGGCAAAGTGGGTGAGGGGGTGGGGACAGAAAGTGGGGACGAAAGCAGATGACAGAACATTGCAAGAGCGAGCAGGAAAGGAGGTGAAAGGAGACAATTTTAGGAAAAAAAAACTTTTCGCTAGGCCACGATAGCCACTGTAGATATTCAGGAGGCGGGAAGAAGTGTTACACGTTGCAAACCCATAATTTGAGAGTTTGCAATTAAATTTTGAAAATTTCTAGAAAATAATTGATTTGCGACAGTTTTAGTGGCTATATGTGTGATCTGCAGCAAATGATACGCAGTTTGACCCCCCCCCCTCCCAAAGCAGTGCATCTGTATGCGGGAGTGCGTCTCCGAAGAGTTCCTGGGTGCTCACCGGAGATGTCTCCGAATATGTGAGGCAGCGTGGTGGAATCAGGCTATCGTCAAAAAAATCAAAGTGAAGAAACTTGCATTTTTTCGAGGGTTTGTCAATTTTTATCAAATTTTTGTTTTTTGGCTCAACACCTTTCATGCTCATTAAAGAACTCATTTCTGTGTGAATTTTTCTGAAAAACGTTGATTAAATGCACAAAAAATTTAAATTTTCAGATACCACGAACTCTTAAGCTAAGGAAATAACAAATCTTTGGCGGCCATTTTCTCACTAATTTAACCTCTGAAAACAGGTGACCCCCCCCCCACCTCCTTCTTTCTCTAATATCTCGACTTGTATTCAAGATAAATGAATATTTTTTTTACGTCCGAATAAACACAACTGAACAACCTTTGAGATTATACCAATAACTCTACATGCCCAAAAATTGACGAGAGCCTGATTCCACCACGTTGCCTCACATATGTTCTTCCGTTCCACTTACCCCACTAGAGATGTAGACGGGCACGAACAACCAGCCAAGCAGTAGCAGACAAAACAGGCCCTGGAACAAGAAAAGACCATTTGATTCAAACATCGGTGGACTTCGAATTTCGCTTGTCAATTCTTATCAATAATGTCCCTATCCGTACGTCGTGTTTTACTGTCGTATTCATACGACGTGGGGAACTCAGAGCCACCACTTTCCAAAGACGAAGTTTACTAGTTAATTCGATCCGTACGCTTTGCATAGCAGTCTGTCCAAAAATGATTTTCGTACTAGAAGTATTCTAAAATATGAAGAATACAACCCCGGGGGTAAAAAATGACCCTTGGGTGTACGGATAAGGTTAATGTTGTCTTACATCACGACATCATGTTCAGTCTATAATGGGTTTTTAAAAAATACATTACCACTGTAAATCATTACTGGAAAGGCCAGTTCAAAATATACGTGTAGGGCTGCCGACACCATCTGTTCGAACCTCGTCATCTCCCCCCCCCCCAAACCACCCCCAAAGCATAAAATCATTTCTGTTTCATCGAAATGTATCTGGAACAACGTAATACAGTTCCCAAAATATGTTTCACGTTTCGAGAGGAAGCCATTCTCAAACACATGTACCTGGGTTTATTTTTTTCCTGTCCGAAATTTCTCTTTTACACTATTCGTATGCCTCATCGCTTCTCCACGGTAAAAATTCGACATTATAATTTATTGTGGATATTTAACTAGCTTATGTAACTTATTTTGGAGAAATAAAGGGCAAGCCCACATCCCATCACTGCAAGAAGGTTTAAGCCACGAGTCACGTCGGAGTAAATAACAATGAGGACAGCTTTATGACGTGAGGGTTCTTTGTCTTTCAGCCCAATGAGCCCGGATTGTTGCAACTGTGTCACAAAAACACATTCAACTCAAGGGAGAATATCCAACCAGCTGTTAACTGGAACGATCAGCAAGCAGACCCTTTTATGGATCTTGGAGAGGAGGGTGGAGAAGCTATGGCATTGTGCCACCTGCAATGTTGAATGATGCCTATTCTCCAACCAAGTAAAGTAAAGTAAAAGTATTCAACTCATAGCTTTCAACGTGAGGACAGTTCCGAGAAACTCCTTGTACTTACTTCAGCCCACTGCTGAAGTGGCGTCGGTTGTCTTAAAGTTATGAGTAGTCGTGAGATAGCGGATCCATGGATTCAAGGCTTATCTCAGTCTGGCGTTGTGCCCCTGGGAGAGACAATTTACACCAACTGTTTCCCCGTTTGGTTCGGTCCTATCGGAATTACTTACTTTAGTTTACTTTATCCGTCGTTTTTTACCCTTAGGGCGTTGAGGGGAGAAAGAGCTACCTGTCTCTAGCAAGTTTGGTGGCCTGGCTGGGTGGGATATTGTATATTCTCAGGGTATCCTTCACACCCTGGAACCAGGTCTTTCTTGGTCGTCCTATCGGATATGAGTGTTAAATTAGGAGGTTCAAAATTCTTACAGTAATGCAAGAGACGTTAAGCCTGAACAGTTTCGCACATTTCGAAGTCAGCAGCTGACCCCACGGAGGCAAGTCCTGCTGAGGAAAAACGCTTTCAATCCCAGAATTGGTCGCCTTTAAGCACAAGGGGGCGATCCCGAAAAATGCTGTTTTGAGAAAATCGAAGGTTAAGTTTTTGCCACTTGCCCAGTTTCTTCACAAGACAAGGAGAGTTTTCTCTATAACCAAACAAATCTACACACCAATGAAACCATATTTCTCCTATAGGTAGGGCAATGCCCACTTTTGGAGTAGGTCAAGATTTCTGGAAACCCCCGAAATCTATGCTAGCCCCCTTGTGTTTAAAAGCGACCAATTGTTCCCAGGTTGTCGCCAGAGACCTTGCAATGTTTACTTAAGTAGGTCTCTGGTGTCACTGTACTCACGTTCCCATGGTGTCACTGTACTCACGTTCAGCTCATAACTGGCCACAGCTATACCGCTGGCTGCTCCTGTCCCGCCCAGACCGATAAAACTTCCGCTGCCGATGTTGCTCGAGAAGAGGGACGCTCCAATCTGAGAGAAACAACGTTCTGTTAAAAGCCAACAGGTCTCTGATGCTTTTAAATCAATCACTCTGTCTGAATTCTTTTTCAAAGAAAGGTCTAACACTAAGCGGTTATCCTGAAGGATTTTCTGGAAGCCGAAATCTAAATTCAATTCACTATTTTCATATTTTTAGATTTTTTTTTAAATCAGAAAAAACCATTTTCTCATAACTTATCTGAGTGGATTTAGGCATTTTTTCCCCTTATGGCCATGAATAATGTGTATATATCATACTCTTACCTCATAGCAAATCAGCAAAGTCAAAACAAAAGCTACTCTTATCGTTTCCATTTTTTTCTTGAGTTGTTTGATCATAGAGACTGCCTGATTAGTCATTCGCTTCATTAACATTTACCACGAGCAATGATTCTTTTCTATGACCAACTGAGTCGTAAACACAGGCGAAGGTATCCATAAGATACTGTAATGGGGAGACTAGTACTCACTTTAATTTTGTTCTTAAATGTGCTGACAAAATACCTTTTATGCACTTCAAAGGTGTGAATTCAAAGGGTTTTTCTCAAACAAACCAATGAGGTATACACAAGGCGGTATTACTTCCAACTTGACGAGCAAAATCTAAAATAAGCAGACTTTCTTTCAGGCTGTCCATAAACGGAAGCAGCTTCGGCATGCCAAATTACGTCACTGAATACGAAAAGCACAAGGGAAAAACAACTGTAGTCACACACTGGAAACTGTGAGGGTGCCAATTTTAAAAGCGTGTGGACTCATAACTTCATATATATTGTTTGACTGGCGGTCTTTTGTTCAGCATCGTTGAATGGGAAATCTAACAACAATAGTCAACCTACAGTTGAACAGAAATACATTAAAGTTTATGAGTCAAGAAGCGTTTTAAATTGGTACCCTCACGATTTTCAGTTTGTGGCTACAGTCGTTTTCCCCCTGTAGTCTTCATATGTTTTGCGCCTCTGCCTGTACCATTTAGATCATGTGTTAGAAGGGATACAGGGCCAATGTGGGCTGTGATCAAGACAGGCTTATCTTGTTGTAATCTTGTCTCATTTCATGATATTCTGTTTGTCGCTTTGTAATTTTGAAGAAAAAGAACCTGATTGTAATGTTCTTACTTCCTTGTTAGTGTGGTGTTATGGTAGTCTTGTCTTGCTTCATCTTTTTTCTCACTGTCTTATTTAAAACAAGAACTGTATTACTTCTAATGTTCCTACTTCCTTGTTATTGTTAATTATTGTAGTCTTGTTCCACTTCACCATCGTCTGTTTGTCACTGTGATATATTTAGAACCAGCATCTGATTAATTATGTTTTTATTACTTTCTTGTTATTTTCATCGCGTATCTCGATCTTTCTCTTGGGATATTGTTGTACCCCTCACAGTCTGGGTTGGCCCTGAAAGGTATGCAGGATTGAAGGCCCGCGTCCTAAATGATCTAAACTGTGTCAATGGGGGCGTAAAGACTTCTTACATTTTTAAACCCTATCCGTACGTCGTATATTACTGTCGTATCCATACGACGTGGGGAACTTTGTGCTACCACTTTTCAAAGAGGAAATTTACTCGTTAATCCGATCCGTCCGCTTTGAATATTAGTCTGTTAAAATGGATTTTTGAGAAATACAGAAAGTTTCAAAGAGATCTTCGTACTAGAAGTATTTTAAACTGTGAAGAATACAACCACGAGGGTAGGGTTAAAAATGAACGGAAAATTGGATACTCACAGCGAACCACATAATGTCTCGGCCAGCCAGGAAGTATCCGCTGACGCTGCCTCGCTGTGTACGCCATGTGGCCTGTGAGATGGGTACAGTTTTAGTTTAGTTTTAGTAAGAGTTTTACGGCACTTGCAACACAAAAAGGTCATATAAGTGCCGAAGAA